GATGCTATTCACATAGCCGATGAAGTACTACGACAAGTATCACACTCATATGCTTTTGAAAGGTGGGCGGGGGAATTTCCATCTGCTGTATTTCACCTACCGAAAGGAAACCTTAAAAGTAAGAATGTGGCTTTATTTACTACAACTGCCAATTATTTGTCGTTGAATGTTTCATATGCAAAATAAAATGCAGCTTTGCTCTGAGGAGAAGGAGGAGGGAGGATTGACTAGTGAGGAGTACGAGTTGAAGAAGTCCAGGAGGGTTGTCTAATTCCTTGCTTCATTTTTTAGTTGAGCTGATGAGTGACTACGCGAACATTCGAGTCTCAGTTAACGGAACTCAAGAAGATTTTCCCATTGGGAATCTAGACATTGCCGATATCAAGCGAAAAATTCTCACTGTTACTTCGCAGTAGCGCAATATGCACAAATAAATTTCATGTTTGAATCAATACGCAAGATTTTGTGTTAATGCCTACTCACTGGTATTTTCTGCCTTCACTTTGGGTGACGCGCAGCCAATGGGCCACTAAATTGCGCACGCGGTTACTCGCTTGTAGTTGTTGATGTCGCTTGGTTCCAACTGCGAAAATGTGGTAAGTGTTTTGCGTGTGCAAAACTGATGGGAGTTTGATTGTCTGGTAGGAGTTACTGCCTCAAGTAGGAGGATTGGGGTGGAGTGGAGTGGGGGAGTGGGGAGGTACTCTCGTGCATCGTTGTCATTTCGGGTCTCACCTTCAACTGATGTTTATTTCTTCGCCAAAACATGAAAGTGAGGTCGGAGTAGGCAATCTCGGGGAGTATTTGTCGCGTAACAGCTCGGTGGTAGGAGTGTCTGCTCTGGTTGGAGTCATATTATGGAGATGAGGGGTGCAGAAAGGCGGCTTCTTTCTTATTCATATTATCGCTAGTGAGACACCAGCCAAAGGTAGAGGCGCCTCATTGAAGGAGGACGAGAGGTTAGATTTGCTCCCATATGGTACCCAGTTGCTTAAATCCGCAACTGCTCTAACCAGTTTGACAGCACTATTTTTATGAAGTATTGTATTTGGAATCGGTGGCAAATATGGACGTCAGCGACATGGAATACAGGTTCCAGTGTTGGAATTCCACTTTGGCAGCGGTCACCGTGTAAGAACACTGATTTGTAATATTCCCAAATGTAAGTGGTTGACTATCGTGCAAGATGCTTAGTTACTTGTAGCTTAAACCTCATGGCTCAGCGGCCATTGACCACTGAGAAGGAAATGGTCTCAAAACTCCACAAACCCGGTTTCTTGCACACATTTGCAACACTGAATGATTAATGTCCTTCCCTAACCAACATGTTTGGTGTAGGGGTGCGAAGGCGGAAGTGAAAGAGAAAAGAGGTAGACCCATCTAACACTTGTGTTCTTACCACTGAGGTAGATTTCTAGCGAAATTCATAAATAACGGCAGCGGAAAATATGTTGGCATAGAAGTAGTAGGAAAATTGATAAGGAACAGTGGGATGCATGCCTATTATTGTTACCCAGACACTAGCTTGTGCCAAAAAATCTGGCTCATGGACCAGTTTTCTAAAGACGTCTTAAAATGCGTCATCTTCGCCTGACATTGTTTTGCACAGGGGGTTCCGTTATTGTATATGCCACGAATTTTGGTGAAATATTTCTTTTAATCTCTCACACTGAACGCACAATTTTGGAGTGACGGGTTGCTGGTATGACTTGGGTGTGTACGGCATTGTTGGTGTTCCTTCTTGTCTCTCTTTGCCAATTCATGGATAGGTAAGCGTGCTGGTAAGGTTTCAGGGGATTTAGCCTGGCACAACCAGTTCCTGGTCCTGACAATTTTATATATTTGAACTTCACTTGTCTTGCATTCTATGCCCGAAAAATCCATTTATTCATCAATGAGGATACACCCACAAATTACACTATGCAACCAAAAAACCCAGTTGGATTTTGTGGTGATAATAAAACAGCATCGCTATCATTTATCGCAGACGTTGGTTCTCCCACCGTGTCATCTTTGAATATCTCGTAAGCGTTCTCGTTGAGGTGCTATGATTCTAGATTTGGTTTTCTCTCGGACGGTTATCGTTATTGGTCTCTAAGTACTTCGACCGTTCAGTTTAACAACAAAATCTACAGCCTTTCAATGAAGTGGTCATATTCGCCGATTTCAATGGGCTTCAAATGTTCTGACATGGGTCGCGTTGCCGCTGTAAATTCCACCCCCAGCGTTGAGTTCTCTTTCTTGGGACTACAGGTGTGTACTCTCTTCCCTTACGTGTATCTTTCACCTGATAAAGTTCTTACTACTGAAAAAATGGTAATCTCTGGTTCATCCACAGGTGCAACCATTTGGAATCACTAACGGCGTCTTCACTGAAGCCAACGACTGCGTTGGATTCTTCACCACTGAAATCTTCTCCAACCTCTTTGTCATATTTCTTCTTCTCGGCATCTTCACATACGGATTAGTCATGATAATGGGCATACAGACAAACGATTCTTTTGACGATCCAAAGCACAAAATGATGCAAATCGGTGGGACCTCCGACTGAGGTGCCTCATTACCCAACCAAGGATTGGCGTCATCACCACGTTGTGTTCTTGACCTCTTGTTGTGCACTCCTACTGTCAGTGGATATTCCACTTTATCCTCCACTTATATGACACTTTTTCTCACTAGTACCCAGGGTCTGCTTTTCAGTGAATTGATAGCGTGAAATGACCCATGTGAAATTGGAGACTCCTATCTTTTTGTCTTTCTTTTAAAAACATCAATTCTAAGGCGTCCACTCCACTGTTCTCTCGTAATCTTTTACTCTGGTGGACGTCTACTTAACTGGTGGCCATCCACGCTCATCGTGCTGGTGAGGCGTCTCTCTGTCACTCCGTTGCCTAAATCCACCACTCCGTTTTGTCAACCGAAATCAAGAAGTCCGGCCAGGTATCCCCGCGAATTCGTCATTCGTAACCCCCTTCTTCTGAGTGTCCTTCATTTTGGTCACTGTTTTGGCCATTCTGACGTGGTCGATGCTTTAGAACTCACCCACAAAGCGACGACAAAGAGAAGTTGGTTTGATGACTGGGAAGACGTTAGATCCCAATTCCAGATTAGCAGCTTCACGGGGCCGCTATTCAGCATTCGAGCCTCCTTGCTGCCTTGTTCCTGAGCATCTTTCTAGGTTCCGTTCAGTTATTGTGATGTGGTGGATGTGCCATGGATATCCTCCGACATGAACATTTTTAAACCTCCCAAGCTTAGTAGTGCTTTAGTCTGTTATAAAGAACGTGGGACAAGAGTGACCGTCAAAGGCGGATCCGTCTTCGGCAATTTTTACATTGTAAGTCTTCATGGATTTAGCTACCTGCATCTGCCATTTATGATATCTGGTTTTGCTACCCAATGTTGATTTCTGAGGTTTTGCTGGCCGACTGGTTTTTCTTACCGCTACTTCCAGTGTAATGCGATAAATAATCGCCTAAGACTGCAAAACACCAACCTATAGGAGTAGCTTAATGGCGTGCAGAAAAAGCAGAGATCCACACCACCAAGATCGTACAGAGCTGGCAAAAGTGGAGTGGTTTGCACAGTTGGCTATACATTTAAACAAGTGCCACTTTACGCCGTACTCTCATCGGCAGCATCATTCCAGAACCAAAAGAAGTCGCCACCAGCAGTGAGAAGGGCGTTTTTAGTAGGGTGAGGTGAGAGTGAATGGATAAAGGGTACGGGGGCTGCCGCCTTTGCCTCCTGCGTGGTCTCTCCGATGCTTGAAGACCACGCAGGTGAGGCGGCCTCGGTTGAATGGTCCAGATGTAAAGAAGCAGCTCCGTCCTCCAACACATTCCATAACATTACATGACAATCCTCCTCCGATCCGCTGGCTATCTGCGCATCCTCGTTCAGGAAACAGCAATCAATCCTAAAATCAGACAAAGCTTGCCTCTTATACATTGCTTAACACGTTTTCTATCGCTGTCGCCCATGTATGATGCTCCAATTTCCTTACATGAGTCCACGCATCACACACGTGTGACACAACTAAAAGGAGGTGAAATGGACGAGGAATAGTGAGTTTACGAAAACCCTGTGCTGCGGTGATTCCTTTTCCTCTGGAGCGGAACCTGATGGTAAATACGTTAACTCATTAGGCCAAATAATTCTTCAGATATCTGACGCGTTCAAGTCAGTGTAAGACTTGAGGTCAAAATGAGCCGCCCAAGAGGATATATTTTAGAGGGTGGAATCTGTTACTCTCCCAGTTTGGCCTCCTTTCAAATCTATGTAATTATCCATGTGCTTAACGAATATCAGGAAAGGTGATTCAATAAAGACAGATTTGTCTGTAAGACCTAGTCATCCTAAGGTGGCCTCCCTTCGTCACCAGCGTCCCGGTAACAAACTTGTGCAAACTTTTCGGAATCCCAAGTATTCACCGCGATCATTACAGACAGATGTGTGGCCGACTGTCTTTGAAACATTAGCATCACTTAAATATTGCATTGCTGAGTAGACAATGCCGTAGTGCTTGAAACCTGCCTGACATCCTACTGAATTGGGGTGGAGCGTGCTAGTCCTCGCATGATGGATGTGACACCTATCAGTGATAGTACTAACACCTACTTAAGACTGTGTTTAGGGCTACTAAGTCAACATGTCTTTTGAAATGGACTTATGGGAATCGGTCTGAGGGCAGTATCTCACCTGAAGTCCTTGTTCACGTGACCGGTATATCTGTTGAGCAATTCACCGTTGGCATAGTCAAAGAGTCTAACCACGGAGTCCTGCGATGCTACTAGAAGACATTGACCGTCAAAGGACAAACCCACTGAGGTAACAGGATAGCCGATGTAATCCTCGATCATTATTCCTGCGAAGGGAGAAGTCAACAGTACCCACGTTGGGATACTTACTGATTGTGATTAAGTTGGTTAAGGGTCGAGATTTGATAAATCATAGCGTATTCTTAATCCGAAATATGATAAATGACAAAAAACAAGGCTATCATAGATTTATAACCACAAGGTCTCCACTTCCCGTTGCTTTTTGGTAGGGGAAAGTACCTACTATTACGGTCACTGAAGTAGTCCATCTTTTTCTGAGCTTGTTTGAATTACAGCGGTGTTAATCCGGATGAAGTTATTAATCACTGATGCCTGGACCACGGGAGACATTGACAACAGCACAATGCATTGTAACTTTCCAGCTACTATTTTAATTAAGCCTAAGCTGACAAACGATAACTAAAGTTTGAGGGGAGTCTTGGCAACCATTCCTTTTGGATGAAACATCAAATGACCGCAGAAAGTTTTTTTTTGAGTAGTTTATTTGTTGTATTAATCAGGGCTATAGTCTACCACCGTTTCCAATTGAGGTCCAAACTTGCCAAAAATTCCACTTTTATAAGACTCGGAGCCTAGAATCAAACAGCTAAACGTAGATCAAGAAACCTTCACTTCTAGCCACATTTCTTTTCTAAATGTTGATTTTATTTTGCCTGTAATTACATGATCGTCGAATACTAAAGCCGCGAAAAAGGTGATGACAATAACTTGGAGAAATATCAGCGGAATAGGGAGGTGGTACTTCTGGTCCTACAATTCCAAACCGCAAATCTCTCCATGGGTAATTTTCACGGTATGAGGTCTCGTGTAGCATTAGTTTGTAAGAATAGGGCTTTCTTTCCACCTATTCAGCAATGCTGGCCGTCTCTGTGGAAAAGAATTTTTCCTCGGCCACCTTCCAACTATATCACAGTGACTAGACGGATCACAGCTCTGGCCTTCAGTAAGAGAACGATTGCGTCTACGGTCTCTGATCTACCGGGACTGAAGTAATGGGTGCCTCAAAAGTGGGACAATGAGTGGATTGGTTGGAGTCAACCTGTGTGTTAGTTTGCTTGACCTACACAATCTATGATGTACGCGAGAGAAGTGAAAACCAAATTGATACTCTTTCATCTGTCGAGGATTAGTAGCTTCCTCGACTATCACTCACACTCACCAGAATTCAGTTTTTGAGGTAGTTCTGAAAGGTATGTTTTGTCATCTCGCATCCCACCTCCTCCAAATCCTATGCAAGAAGGCAGCTTATCCCGCCTAGAAATCAAGTTCACTTTGATCTCAAAAGCTGACAGTATTGAATCACAAACATCAGGTTCAACCAGCATTCAATCGTGAGGATGATGGAGTTCCAAATGATGGGGAAATTTCATACAGAAAATAAATAATGAGTGCCACATCCATAGATTAGCACATATCGACACTGAAAACCGCACGAACTCTTTTGTTGTTACCTGACATATCATCACCACTCGGAGTTGTATCGACTAACACACCATCCATGTCTGCCACAGTAGATCATGGAATTCCTCTACGTCAATTATTTCAGTTTCCTACTCGCTGTCATGACATTCTCCCCATGTTTGTAGGCGCCTATGTTAATTGCTGAGTGTCAAACCCATGAAGTTGGTAAGTGGGTTGGTATTATAAAGGGTGGCATGCCAGGCTTCATTCTAGACATTAAAATGAAAAAAAGGGTGAAATCACACTTTGCTGAATTGTGTAAAAGCTGAGCTAGGTGTAATCATTTCGAGTGAATATCTGGACCCACCTTTCCGAATGTCGTAAACACGAACACACCGGTCAACTGAACCAGTGATGATTTGCCAACGACGAACAGCAAGACAATTGACGCTATCCTTCGCTTCGTGCATAGTCTACGAAGGCGAGACAAACATCAGCTTGTGAGTAGCATCATAATGCCTTAGCTAAATGTGGCCTAGCACCCAAATTGCTTGCGAATCAGAAAAGTGTGGACGACGACAAGCGGCAATATGAGTAAAACGCCTAAATGTGTAATAGGGATGGCAGTCACTACCTGAATGGGATATTGTGTGCGAGCACGCGCGTCCCAGGCGAGAAGCATGCCATCTACACCGACAGAGAGAAGGAGGAGGCTGGAAGAGGGCGTCAATTCACCCTCGGCCGCGGAGGGGCCAGCGAATCGAACGGCGTTGACACGGCCCATATGTTTGCGCCATCGACGTAGAGTCTGGCCTGTGGCAACGTCCCACAGAACCACTAGATTGTCTGTTCCGCCCGAGCCCAACTGGCTGTTGTCACTAGAGGCCTGAACAGAAATCAAAGAAGCCGAATCTGACATCTACTGAGACGACGATCAGTAGGGCTGCTTCCAAAGTTTGATCAAACAGTATCGAAATCGCAATTTCACGTACTATCATGAAGCAAAAAGTGCATCACAGCAGTTAATATTGTCAATATTGTTGGTACTTTTAAGGTAAGTGACATGAACTGAAACCACGACTGTGGATAATGATGGACAGAGAGCAGCAGTCCATGAAATTCGGGGACAAGTCAAATAGATGAAGAAAGTGACTGGGTACCGCTGCATGAATGAATCATTTGAGGGTGGTGAATTGGCCTGCACAAATTCAACTGACCTGAACATCCGAGACTTCGCCTCCATGACCGATGTAGGTCTTCAACAATCGACCTGCCACCGGGTTCCAAAGTCGAATACTTCGATTGCCTCCAGCTGTAAGGCAGTACTGACCGTCGGCGTTGAAGCGTACCGCTCGGACAGCATTCTGACGACAGTAGACACGCCTAACTGGATGCAGCGCGACTCGACCTGGTATGCCTTGCACGACAGTTGAACCGGATTCCGTATTGGCCTTGTGGAAAATTGACAAAAGGTAGAGAATTGGCGGACGAAGAACTAGTCAATTCGTTGCACTGGCTATAATATATGAAAGGCGTTCAATGTGTTATCAAGCCCAAGAAGAAACGAGGAACGGTTCAGTTGAGAGTGAATCTAAGGTCTACAATTGTTTCCCAAGTTTGTAGGCTCCCAGTCCGTTTGTTACCAACCTATTAATCTCCGCAAATATTATATGGAATAAGAGTATTTCCACAGTGGCATAACATTTGAGATTATTAATAAAAAAGTAAGTGGAAGAACACATGAAGGAGTAGATGTGGCAACTCAGCTGGAAGTAGCCATGATACTACTTCTAAAAATAGTTCATTATAGCGTGGTGAGTGGTGGGTCAAAGTTTCTCAAAAATAACTTTGAAAGAAACCTTTATATCCATCAGACTGCTTTATAATTGCAATAGTGTAAAAGCTAACGGAGAACTATTGCTGATAAACTATCAAGAGAGCCAGTAACTACTGATATTACGGGCAGTAATATATATCGTGCGCAATGAAATCACAATTGAATAACCATTTGTTTTCAAGATCGCTATACAATTTCTGCTTTACCGGAGCCAATATACCGTCTGCTTTTTAATTCATTCATTTTCTTACCATGATTGTGGCGCTCAACGTTCACTACTTTAGTACAACCATGTTTGAATCATTCAATCCACTCAAAGAATAAAAACTCAAAACACATCAAAGAGGGTTAACTTGCGATTTCAACCCTTTTTCTGTCAGGAGCATCAATTTACGGATGAGTTATAAGAGCAGTGAATTAGCCAGATCAAATGATCCTGTGGAACAGTTAGACACTTCCAAAATGCTCATCATTTTCTGTACAAAAAATATAAAGCAGTGATTTTGTAAGAAAAGCAAGCACGGAAGGACGAGGGACAATGCAATACACGGCATGCTTTCAGTAAAAATAACTAGCAAGTGTGAGTGCCATTCGAACTAAAGTCTATCCGAAAAAGCCGAATGAAAACTTGGAATCGCAGAAATCCGCTAATCGTGTCAGTGTGTGGACGGATTTCTCAAATTTATAACACTTCTGAAATCAAAGAAAACATCACTCAATTCAAGAGAAGGCATAATGTATTAAGTATGAATTTTATTCAATACAAGGACTTGATATGAAAGTGTTCCACTCTACGCGGTATTCAGAAACTTCATCTTCTCCATTAGTTCCTCTGAAAGTCCGGTAACAAAAAAAGATGAGAAGTGATTAGTGGAATTAAAAGAAAAGAAAAACAATTATTCCACTCACGTGTATTCTGGCTTAACCAACTGAGCGAGTGCATATGCGAGTTGAGGATGCGTGTCACCTGGCCAATCACATTGGTTGTCTTGTCTTTGACTCCTGTCAGCCCATCCCCATCACTTCCAACGCCCACGGTGGCTCCCGTCCCCCCATCTGCCGCCGCAATAGCAGAAGTCGGCATCATCGTCGTCGACTCCAGATCAGCCGTGACCGCGTTTACGCGTGCCGCCATCTCGCGCAACTCGCCCAGCAGCTGGCCCAATTCCAGATCGGTGTTGATGCACATCTGGAAGATGGCCTCGCGCTCCACGTCCGCATGCTGTTGGCTGGGTGGGAGATCGGCTGCTGCTTGTTCCAACGGTTCTAAAAGGTCCTCTAGGGTCCGCTGTTGTGATTCCACGAACTCCAGCTCCTGTAAGCAAATGCCAAACATCCTATTAGTTGTGGCATAAAGCTCAAACAAGTGCTTAACACGTTTGTTACCAGTTTTAGATGCGTGTCACAAATGTGGGGCGTGATCATTATGAGTTTGGAATTGACTGCACCAAGTCGTGCGTCGCACATAGATTTGGGAGGTTTAAATCCTAGTCTGAGGATGAGTACGTCGAGCAGCAGTCGAATTTACCAAAATATTAGTAAACATTGGCACCACTATTAGGAACAACAATGCGTCCGGGCTGAGGTGGTCGGCTTTTCCCTCCGGTTTCGATAGTTGTACAAGCAACTACCCACTGACAAACCATTCTATCTTGATAATTTTCCAAACATTAGCGTTGCTTCGGTTGAGAATATTTATAAATTTGGCCCTAAAGTAGCTTCCGAAGTCATGAACGAATTTGTGCTACCCAGTAGAACCAATGCAGCACAGGCAGTGAAAAAGAACCCGTTTGGCGAGGAGGTGAGGAATGTATGCGTCGTAAACATTTTTACGCCTGAAAATTAGGCAGTCACACGGAGACAAGAGCTGATACCAAGGTGGTGGGCTGAAAGAAGAGGTAGTTAACTACCCTCACCTCGAACCACACATATAAAGAAGTTTGTTGCTTTTAACAATATTTTATAATTTGGGACCTGTTTAATGCTGAAACGACTTTCAAACATAATGGGGAATGGTAAAACCCTTGCCTCAAAAAACGTTTAGGATGCCACCCAGTGACGGCCTCATTATGTTTCAGGCCTATTTGGTACTGAACGCAAGGATAATCGCTTATCAAAGTAGAAAAACTGTCAATGACACTAAAAATATACACCCAGGCGCGCCTTTTAAGCTTCCTGTGAAATAGTCTGCTCGCTAACCCATTAATCCCTTCGATCTCCTATGCGCTCAGTAATAAAATCACCTCCAGACTCGAGTACAAAAAGCGGACGCGGTATGGAGACCTTTAATGTTAAAATCAAAAACCTCGTAAAACGGTCTGAATTAATCATATATATATATTCCTTCATTAATAGATTCGACATGTCAAATTATTGGCACGATAGCCAGTGGGAAATTCCATTAAATCAGACCACCATGAATGGCATTTAAGATAGCAATGAAAGCAGTTTTAATCATATCCAGCACTATGCAGGTACTTAAATCTACCAAACTGCTTAAAAGGGATAAAACTAACCTGCTCAATGCGACTTTGCCCCGCCTTGCAAGCCTCCACCTTCGCATGCAGGTCGGAAATCTTCTCCGCGTTCGCAATCAACACCCCATCCGCCTTGTTCAATCGATTCAGCTCCGCGGAGAAATTACGACTCTGCTCCTCCAACTCATAAGTCCACTTATTGACCATATCCTCCAAGTGACGGTAGGTCAACGAAGCGGCAGTAGACGGCAAGGCAGCACTGCTGACAGCTGTTGTGGTGGTAATAGTGGCCGCAGCAGTAGTAGTAACGGTGGCAGCCGTTGTAACCGTGGGAGCGGAAGAAGTAGTAGCGGTGGTAGCAGTAGCAGCGGGAGCGGTACTACCAGAGGGCTTTATCAAACTACCGAGCGAAAAGCCACTCGACGTGGTGGTGGCGGTAGTGGCTGGAGTAGTGGTAGTCCCAGACTTGGCCGACACAAAACCGCCAAAACTCAAACCGCTTGTGGACGTGGCCACAACAGTAGCAACGGTGATTGGAGTAGCTGATGCACCGAAGGTAAGTCCCCCTGAGGCTGGTTGCGTTACCGGTAATGTGAACGGCGACGAAGCTGCAGTTGATGCTACAGTAGAAGTGGCGGGAGTTGATTTCAAACCAAAAGCAAGGCTGCTCGTCACAGAAGTGCTAGTGACAGTTGAAGAGCCAAAGGACAATCCAGCAGAGGGGGCGGCAGCAGCCGTAGTGGATGGTTTGGAGGTTAAACCAAACCCAAATGAGGGAGCTGTTACGCTTGCATTCGTTGATGATGTTGGCGCTAGAAATCCAAAAGAGGGGGTTGTTGTTGTTGTGGTCGCCGGGGTCCCAAAGGTTGGTACGGCGGTGGCTGTCGTTAAAGGCGTTCCCAGACCGAAGAGGGATGTAGAAGGTGTAGCGGGTTTGCCTCCAAAACCAGACAACCCGAGTGATGGCTGGGAGGCCGTTGAAGTGGCAATTGTTGTAGATGCTGCGGTGAGAGAACTACCAAAAGAGAAGCTAGCAGTGGTAGTGGAGGCAAATGCCGTAGCCGGTGAGCCAAAGGAAAAAGGTGTTGTGGTGTTACCAGAACTTTGTGGGGTCCCAAATGAACCGAAGGTGATTCCAGATGGTTTTGTAGCCGCCTGTGTCGTTGGAGTACCAAAAGTGAAGCCAGACATCGCTGCCTTAAGAGAATCAAGTCAAATAGTTTGAAAAAAAGGCAGAATATAACGTCCCATGTAAAGGGCGCATAAAAACGTTTAAGCAGCTATTTATCTAGGATGCAGAATTGCATATGATACGCACTGATTAAGTGGTTCAAAAAACTTCACAAAAAATATTCCAGAAAACCTCAACTAGTAATGACGTAAACTGGCAAATATCTCATAAACATTTCAAAGTAAATTACAAAGAGATTCCTAAAGCCCAAAAATTGAATTGGAAAGTTCTCACAACATCCTTAGAATGACGAATTAACGTTACCAAAACAGAAAACAAGACATTTTCTCAAAAGAAAAAGCACACGGAAAGGCAAATGTTGGACGAATTATAACGAATGGATTGTCAAAACCTATGAAGCAGCATGGATGGAGCCAACAATATCTTTACTTGGTACAACGGTTACAGTAGCACAAATTGATGCAGATATTTTAGAGCCAGTACCCATAAAGACAGACGTACACGCGCAGGGACAAAGCCCACCTCCCAGCTACAAAGCTTCAACTTAAACCACCGCTTTGTTCTTGCATCAATTAAAGCAAAATGATGAAAAGAAAACTCATCTTGATAGGAGGTCATGTGCATGATTTTAAAAACATAATCTCGTAGATTTTTGATTTTCTTGACAATTTGTTTTAAGGGATTATTTTGTTTTTTTGTTAATATTCTTATACTACGAGTAAATCTAGTTACATAAACGCACAACAAGTAGCTATATTAACGCTCAAAATGACACTTTGGGCTCGCATTGCAAAAAATGTCCTGAATTTTTCACAAACTGGTATCTTGACCCCTCTTTGCTTAACTCCTGATGTCAATTTAGGAATCGTAGTGACCCATGCTACCGCGGCAAAAAATT